GATCAAGTAGAAAGTTCCCAGCAATAAATCCACCGTGTACAGGGGAAGCAGTAGTAGAAAACACGTGGATCGCACAGAAGAAGCATTGTAGAAAACATGACATATTGTAGAACAAATAAAAAATAAGCTCAACTAACACCAGAAAACAGACAAAAGAGGCAGTAAAAAGAGAGAAAAAGAGAGGAACAAGAACAAGAGAAGAAAAAGGAGGGTCAAATCGGGAAGTATCAAGGCAAGGAAATGTATTGAATCCATGGGTCCCACTTTTTATCAAAGTTGTTAGTATTATTGTATAGAACACAGGTGAGACTGTCATTAATCATGATCCAATTTAATTTGTGCTTAACATAGTCAAGCGGAATAATTGATCTCTTCCAATATTTAACAATAGTGATTCTCGCTGCTAACAGCAAATAAGTAAGCAATTTAAGGGCTTTTTTTGTTATTATAAGTGGAAACTTATGGAAGAGCCTTCTCCGGGGCCCAACAAACATTCACCCCCGTCACCATGTAGATAAAGTTAAACATGCGGATCAAAAAAATCTAGTTGCTATCGGACATCGCCACCAAATGTGGAACATAGGACCCATCTGGCCGCAAAGCCGAAAGCACATTGGTGAGGCAGAAGGATGCATCCTCGCCTTCCAGGTTGGGACCAGGTGCCATCACAATAGAGTTTTATAGTTTGCTTCAATTAAGGCGGTATTGATGGAAACTTTATATAATGCCAGGGTTATGTCTTGCCAATCAGATAAATCATAACTAACATTCAGGTCCCGTTCCCATTGATCCATATAGGGAAGTTTACAGCTTGGATCAGAAAGAAGGACATACACCATAGAAATACAGCCTCTAGAGAGATTTGAATTCTGACAGGAAAGTTCTAAATTGGTAAGAATGGGTGGTCCATCTAGTAAAATCATTTTTGACTGGATTAAAGAGGCGATTTTTGATTATATCTAAAGATTTCAGTAGGTGGCATCTGCAGTTTCAGTGCTGGAGAGGGTAAACTCGGGCACCCAGGAGGTAGAAAAAACCTTGAGACGTTTAGAGGGGGATCCCAAACCTTGCACATTATGGGAGAGTAAGCGAACAACGCTACTATTAGGTCTTAAGGTGGACACTGATATAATTAGAAGCAGTGATCGGGAGACCCACACATCCACCCGTATGGGATCCAGGACCAAAGACAAATTCCAGGAGGTGATCCTCAAATAAAAAAAAAAGTGAGGAAAACAAGGAAGGAAAAGAAAGAGACAAAAAACGCTGAGCCCAGAAAATGGCTACTGTCAGGTCAAGTGGCAAAACAACAATATGCAGCATAAAACAGTAGAACACCAAATATCACAGACACAAGGTCAAGGAATAGAAAAGTCTCCGCCAGCATGTTTCTTCTTCCTGGGAGAGGGGGACCACAGAGGCGAACGTGGGGGAGGAGGGACGTCAGCTTTGGATTGGTTCTGTGGGGAGGGGCTAAGGGAAATAAAGCCCAAGTTCAAACAAAAGTTTCTCTCCAGAGAATGTGGAAAAGGCATAGGATTTGCCATTGTAATTAAACTGTAAGCGAAACGGATAGTTCCATCGATAACAAATGTCCCTTTGAATTAAAGGTGAACCTTTGAATTAAAGGTGAAAGCAACGGCTTGAATGCCCTCCGTATTTGTATAGTAGCTTGCAAAATATCTGTAAAGACTTGAATCTTTTACCCATCGAAATTTGGATGTTCCCTGGCGTATTGCATCACTGCCTCCTTAATTCTGAAAAAATTAGGATTAATGATAATTTCCCAAGGGGGCCCATCCAGTTTTAAGAGGACCAGAGCTCTATGGATACGATCTATTGCTGTGGGGATTTCGTCGGCACCCGGCACTGCTGTTAGTATAAGGGAATGGGCAACTAAGGCAATATCTTTGACCGTTTCCTGCAGGCCTCCAATCCAGAAATTGTACCGACGGGCACAGTTCTCAAGATTATCTATTTTCAAATAAGCTTCTTCCAGGTGGTCTTGTAGGTCAGCAATCCTGATAGAATTCTGAGACATTCTGTGAACTGTATCATCAATGTTAGATTCAATGTTCTCCAAGTGATTTCTGATCTCCCTGAAATCCTGCTTTAGATCAGAGGCCAGTTTAGTGGTAGCTTTTTCCAATTCTCTCTGAAGTAAATCAGCAAAACAAGCAATAAGAACGGAGTCCCCTGAGTAGTGCAGAGGCACAGATGGATAAGCAGAAGAGTCCACAGGACCGTCAGGAGCTGAATCATGACCACTAATTTGGCTGGTAAATATGTCAGCCATTTCCCTGTCTAGTAGGGAAGAAGCCTGGGAGTCGTGGCCTGGTGACAGGGCCGCAGCCTGAGGAGTGGACCTGGCAGGGCTAGAGGGAGCCAGGGGAGCCGTCACTGTGTGTCCCAGGACTGGAGGAGTTGGTCCCGCTGTTGAGGAGGCTGCGTCCCCTCTACTGCTGAAGAGCTTCGGGAGCTGGTGCCAGCCGCCATCTAGCTGCCCCCTCCCTTCCTCATCGTGGTAGTGCGGGAGCCGCCTGCGGATTTCACAGCCGGTCGGGTGGGCATCAGAGGTCCCCCACCTCCTCCACAAGGTAAGCAGGTGAATGGCAGAGAGGATTGGGGTCAGGATCAGCTTATTATTCCCCCTAGGGTGCCGGGAATGTGCGGAGCGGTCCGGGCTGCATCCGCTCCAGCCGCCCATGCATGCGGAGAAGTTCACTATTTTTTAGTTTTATCCTAATACTTCAGAAGGTCATATTCTCTGTAGAACATCAACACCAAACTGCCTTTATACCAAGCAAATCAAAAACGTTGCCCCATACATAGACAGACCATAAAATACTGTACATAAAAAAAGCCAGCTATCAATCCAGAAATAATTAAAATATGAATAGGTAATTACACCAACTTTAATTCAACAACAGTGATTAAACCTTCCTTTCAAGTACATTATTAGCACTTCAGTTGTGCTCTTGGCTGTGTATCAAACAGTGTAGACCATGGAAACAAAACAAAATTAGGTTATTTAAAGAACAATGGAACTGACCATATTTACAGATTCAAATTCACAAACCTCCAAATTTAGCCATTACAAAATGGTGTCTAGAGGCAGCAAACTCACATTAATAGAGAATATGATACTTAAACTGTGGCCAAAGTAATAAGTAACAGATTCAAATGTCAAAGGAAATGATTAGCCAGATTTTTGATTAATGAATATTATGATCCAACACAGAAAAAACCTTGCTAACCACAATTACAGCTATAGATGGTTTAGAGCAGTTTCTCAACCTTTTCCCAGTCGGGGCACCCTTGAAAATAATTTTCAGTCTCAAGGCATCTCAGTTTACGGCCTGCCTCACATTACTTTGTGTTGAGGGAACGCAGGCAAAATTGCACATGCTCCCCACATGCAGATAAATTTGCTGCTTTTCAGCAGAAGCACAGGGGCATCCTTAATTCCTAATGGTACCCCCCCACGCACTGGCACCCAAACGCCCCCCTCTCTGCTAACTTCTGTACCCCAAACCCTGTTGGTTCACCTCTGTACCCCCCACACCCTGCGTCGGCTCACCTCCATACCCCAAACCCCCTCTCGGCTCACCTCCATACCCCAACCTCCCCCTCTGCTCACCTCTGTACCCCAAACTCCCTTATGTTCACCTCTGTAGCCCAACCCCCCCCCACCTTTGCTCACCTCTGTACCCCAAAACCCCCATCTCTGCTCACCTCTGTACCCCAAAACCCCCCTCTTTGCTCAACTCTGTACCCCAAAACCCCCCACTCTGCTCACCTCTGTACCCCCAAACCCCTCTTTCTGCTCACCTTTGTGCCCCCAAACCATCCTTTCTTCTCACCTCCACACGTCAAATCCCCGTTGGCACACCTTTGTACCCCACTCTCTCCGCTAAAGCCAACCCCCACTCTCCCCTCTGGTACCCTCTTGTGCACTGCTTTTCTCTTACCAAAGCCCCAGGGCAAAACTGTTCTTCCCTTACAGTCCACAAGGCTGTGGGTGGTGCTGGCCAAGTGCAACAAGTTTGGCCAGGCTAATGACAAGAGATATATGGCAGGCTGCAGCTCTGCATCAACAACCACTTGAAGAGTTGAAACACGGGGTACTTAGTAGGCTGGGGCACATAGCCTTCTGCTCCCCCTCCCTGTACTGGCCCTACGCACAGCCTTTCACTCAGACCTGGTACTACCCTGTAGGAGAAAATGGAGAGCTCCGGACTGAAGAAGCCATCTTCCCCTTCTACTGCTCTTCACTGCACTGTCCCGACCGAGGTCTTGTTGTGCTGATGTACTTTCGAAAGAGAAAGAATTCAGTCAGATCTGACAGCCTTCCTCAACCAGAATGCTGCAGCACCCCAGCTGAGAAAGGCTGGGTTAGACTGCATAGCTAAAGCTTTTTTGTTTGTTTTAGATAGGGAAGGGTTAATATCTCGGCAGTTTTATTGGGCTAATTTCTCTCAGAAACTAGATTTACGACACTGTCATAATGCAAAGTGTTGCATTTCCCATCAGTTTCTGTCTCAGTGCCACACCTCAAAAGAGGACCACTGTTTCAGTCTAACAGTCTGTGCTAGGGTTAACCAGTCATCTCTTTGACATTGTCATGCTGTGCAATTTTCTGGAGCTTGAAAGGACCCCACCACTGGACAGTCATTCAGAATGTCCACATCATACCACAGGGACGTAGATCCCTAATGAAAGGACCCATTTCTTCTACAGTATTGAAGGTAGAAGACTTGGAATCTAGCATGCATGCCATGTAATCATAGATTTATGAACATATTTGCTTTAAAACAAATCATTAATGACTGCTGGGATTAACAAACTACAAGACCTTCCACAAAATTGTATGACAATTCAAGTCTAAAGTTAAAAAAAAAAAAAAAACAACCTAGTTCCATACTATGGTAAAATCACCTTGAAATTATGCCCTGGTGAATGGTGCCACATGCTTATGTAGTAGAGAAGAGGTTTTTTACCTGACTGACAGCGAGTTTGAGCTCACATAGAGGTTCCCTCTCAACATTAACACGAAAAGAAATCTTGTACATAGATTCTGCCATTCGGTCTCCATCCAGAACTTCTCCCAAGGTTAGGCTCTTGTGGCGGATTTGGGAGGGGGCACACACTGGCAGTTGGTAGAAGTGATACGTTTCCTGTGGGTTGTGGTATGGTCCCACCTTGTTTACATACAACATTACTGGATCACCTTGCTTGTATCGATTATCCGCTGCAATGAGTGGTGGAACTACAAACCACATGCAGAGGAGGGCAACTGAATGAAGAAAAGCCATGTCTGCAAAAGAAAAAAAAATGTTTGCTCCTGGCTTATGATCTGAAATTAATTTTATATATGGGATGCTTTTTCAGTCAACGCAATAAACACAAGCACATAGATCACTATAACAATCTTACAATGCATGAATGATAAGAGATTAATGCAACGATTTCATAACAATAAATATTTGTAGCACTAACTACATAGGCTGGGAAATTCTGTTTTTGAGGGGTGAAACCATTAAAAAAATGCAGGAAGTTACATCTTCAAAGAACAGCATTAAAATTAGATTTAATCTTAAATAGGCCAGTGAGGAAATACACTTGAGTTGTTTATTTTAGTGCAAAATATTTTAAAGAAACATTGTCACCTTGTCTATGCAAGGCAAAATTACAGCGTCTCTGCAAAGGGCCAAACCCCTTAAATTATCCGCTCCTTTCCTTGGTTGCAGGCTGCACCAGAATGAGATGTGTTGGCAGCCAAAGGGGGAGCAGTGACATCGCTCCTCCTGTCATATGACAGTGCTTGTACCTAGTGGCTGGCATGGTCATAGGTTAGGAGGACACATGCTCCTCCACAACCAGAAGTGCCAGGCTTTGACACAAAAAAGGAGCAGTGAGGGGGCACTGGTAAGGTACTCACCTCTATATAAGGGGGTCAGAAGGTCTTTTGTAGAGATGCTGTCCCTTTGCCCTGTATGACCAAGATGACAGGAGCCATCAACATGCGTTCAAACTGCCTTTTTTATGCTACCAGTCAGTTCTGTCCTGAAGGCACCATAGAAATTAAATTTCCAGTGACAACAGTTACCAGGACAAATTTAAAAAAAAAAAAAAAAGTAATCTTCCTAATCGTGCAAGACAGCACTTAAAACTTATAGGTTACAGTGGATATAAAGTGTCTACACACACCTGTTAAAATGTCAGGTTTCTGTGATGTAAAGAAATTAGACAAAGATAAATCATTTCAGAACTTTTTCCACCTTTAATGCTTTAATGTGACCTATAAACTGTACAACTCAATTGAAAAACAAACTGAAATTTTTTTTTTTTTTGGGGGGGGGGGGGGGGGGGAGTAAATATGAAAAACTAAACTAATGTGGTTGCACAAGTGTGCACACCCTCTTATAAAACTGGGGATGTAGCTGTGTTCAGAATTAAGCAATCACATTCAAAATCATGTTAAATAGGTGTAAGTACACACCTGCCATCATTTAAAGTGCCTCTGATTAACCCCAAAGTTCAGGTGTTCTAGTAGGTATTTTGTCATTTTCTTAGTCACATCCTACAGCAAAAGCCATGGTCCGCAGAGAGCTTCCAAAGCATCAGAGGGATCTCATTGCTAAAAGGTATCAGTCAGGAGAAGAGCACAAAAGAAATTCCAAGGCATTAGATATACCATGGAACACAGTGAAGACAGTCATCATCAAGTGGAGAAAATATGGCACAACGGTGACTTTACCAGGAACTGGACGTCAAGACGAGAATAAAACTGGTCTGGGAGGCTGCCAAAAGGCCTACAGCAACATTAAAGGAGCTGCAGGAATATCTGGCAAGTACAGGCTGTGTGGTACATGTGACAACAATCTCCCCTATTCGTCATATGTCTGGGCTATGGGGTAGAGTGCCAAGATGGAAGCCTTTTCTTACGAAGAAAAACATCCAAGCCTGGATAAATTTTGCAAAAACCCATCTGAAGTCTCCCAAAAGCATGTGGGAAAATGTGTTATGGTCTGATGAAACCAAGGTTGAACTTTTTGGCCATAATTCCAGAAGATATGTTTGGTGCAAAAACAATACTGCACATCACCAAAAGAACACCATACCCACAGTGAAGCATGGTGGTGTCAGCATCATGCTTTGGGGCTGTTTTTCTTCAGCAGGAACTGGGGCCTTAGTCAAGGTAGAGGGAGTTATGTACAGTTCCAAATACCAGTCAATATTGGCACAAAACCTTCAGGCTTCTGCCAGAAAGCTAAACATGAAGAGGAACTTCATCTTTCAGCATGACAACGACCCAAAGCATACATCCAAATCAACAAAGGAATGGCTTCACCAGAAGAAGATTAAAGTTTTGGAATGGCCCAATCAGAGCCCAGACCTGAATCCGATTGAAAATCTGTGGAGTGATCTGAAGAGGGCTGTGCACAGGCGATGTCCTTGCAATCTGACACATTTGGAGTGATAATGAAAATATTGCCAATTCAAGATGTGCCACGCTGATAGACTCATACCCAAAAAGACTGAGTGCTGGAATAAAATCAAAAGGTGCTTCAACAAAGTATCAGTTTAATGGTGTGCACACTTATGCAACCGCACTTCCCTCCTTCCTAAAAGATTTCAGTTTGTTGTTCAACTGAGTTGTACAGTTTATAGGTCACATTAAAGGTGGAAAAAGTTCTGAAATGATTTATCTTTGTCTCATTTTCTTTAAATCACAGAAACCTGACATTTTAACAGGGGTGTGTAGACTTTTTATATCCACTGTAGGTTCACCTTTAGTAACATGTTACACCCAATATTTAAGGTGTAACATGTTGCTATGCAGTGACCTCTGCTCACCCCGAGCCCCTCTGTGACAATGGGCGGAGGTTCCTCCCATTCAGCCACATCATTCGTTCACAGAATGACTTGTAATCCTTGGGCCATTGATTAACACTCTGGTAGTTCATTGGCATTTCCCCCAGCCTTCAAACAAAAATTCTGTACAGAGGCCTGGTCAAGAAAGCTTGAGTTAAAGTCTGCAGGAGCCTGACATTGCACCCACAATCCACTAATCAATGGTGCAATGCTCAGCAGGCTCCCGTGAAAAAAATGATAAATGAACATTTTTTTTCCTGCAAAAAAAAGTGCATTTATTATTTTTTTTTTTTTCAAAAACAGTGAGCCTTTAACCCTGTCAAAATCTCAAAAAAAGTTTGGATATAGAAATAAAGATAAAGAAAAGATTAGAACCTGAAGATTTTACTGCTGTCTATGTCCCTGATGGGGAGCTTCATTCTGTCTATCTGATCTAACAACCACTGTCACTGGGACAGAACATGTTGAAAAATCAAAAATCTTACAGTTATCACAAAACAGGAATAGAAACAAATCTTTCCAAAGGGGGCACAGTGACAACTGTCTAAAATGGGGCTTACCCTCAAGTTGAGATAGATTTCCCTCACTTCCCGTTTTGTTCCCAGGACAAGAAGTGAGGGGGATTCCTCCCAATGGAATACAGCTGAAAAAAAAAAGTCCACTAAAAACTGACAGATTTTGATAACTTATTGTATCCAAAACACACACGCACAAAAAACATCTTTAACTCAATATATAGTGAGAATCAAAATGAACTGTAAAGTGTACCTAAGGCTGGCTTTTTTCAAATCAGCACGACTATTACTAATATCATACTAATTACTATACAGTAAAATAAAGATAGTAATATACTAATATATGTGACATCACCACCTCTCCCACCACACTTTGCATTTATTAAAGTGGAACTTTATGGCAAAAAAAAAAAAAAAGGGGGGGGGGGGGGGGGGTTGAACAGGTGGGATTTTTCATGCAGAAGAGACATGCTTTGTCTCTTCTTCATTAAAGTTACCAACCTGCCTGTTCGCCCTTGTACAGTGAGCCTCGTACGCACAGCTCACTGTACAAATTAACCAATTCTAAATCATGCGCAAGCATGGGACTGACATTATCCCCTACCGGCCAATGACAATGGGTGGCAATGGAGACCCTGAAGCCGTCCATCTGAAGATGTCTGCGGCCAGGTGGGGAGCTCCGGGATGCCGCATTGCTGGAGCCAAGGTGAGTATAGTTCCGCTTTAAGCTGGAACTAAACCCATGGATTTAATGGTTTCCCAAAACAATCTATATTCAAGGCATGCCGTGGATGATAACTGTCACAATTGTTTGTCCTCTCACCATCAAATGGCTGGTGTCATAACTGATCACATATGCAGCATCATGGCAACTGCAGATCAAACAGAGGCTAAGATGGCAGCGTCCTTGGCTGTAAAGGATAGGAGGGTTAATGAGTTAAGTATTACAGGTATTTATATAGTGCTGTCAATTTACACAGTGCTTTATATATTCTACATTCACATCAGTCCCTAACCCTCAATCTAAGGTCCCTAACTCACATTCATACATACACATACTAGGGCCAATTTAGACAGGAGCCAATTAACCTACCAGTATGTCTTTGGAGTGTGGGAGGAAACCGGAGTATCCGGAGGAAAGGGTTAGTTTTTTTTTTTTTTAAAAGACGTTCTGTGAAGGGCAACCAGGTGAGTGATCCCGTCATACTATGCTGAAAAAAAAGGTCTCAACCCAGCACCCAGAAACTCTGCTTTATTAGGCGTGCTGATGGGAACAGCAGAAAAAAACCCTTTCACTTGTCAGATCTCTTACAACACTTATGCCCCCAAGGTGATCATTAGCATTCCACAGTCACAGTGTCATGCAATTGATGACACCGTGCACCATGATCCTCCTGTGCGCTGGCAGCTTTAGTGCTCGCTGTTCAATAGACAGATGCTGAAAGTGCCTATATTAGCAGGGCTTCCTCCTGATCACACAGCCACTGATGATGGCCCATTACAGACATGAAGGTGTCATAGATGTGACAGGTGAGGTTACCTAGGTGGGCTGTGGACTGATCACTTCCGGATTGCTGTCACTTCCCTCTCCCCGCACACTGGAGAGTCAGCTGCCAGCCGGGCGGAGAAGGGCGCTGAGTGCACACAACTGCCGCCACTGCCTTCTTCCAGTTGGCTCTACGCTGCCATCCTCCTCAGCAAGCCTGCTGCCCGTCTCCAGGGTTCCTGACAGTTTCTGGGGGCCTTCACCTCTCTCTCACGTCACCAGCGGAACATTCTTCTGCCAGTTCCGGCCTGAGAACCCTTGTACAATCTAGGAAGCGCCGGATGCACTTTACTGTAAACGTCGCGCTTAGCAACCTCCTTTCCTTACCCTATTCTCCTTACACTTACCGCCACGACAGCTTCGGGTTGTTACGACT